GGAATAATTATGAACGTTTTACTTTAATTAATGAAGCTATCCTTCGCATAAACCAGAACAGAATGTATTCCTTGAAAACTGGCGGAAGGGAAAGTGAGTTGCAAAACCTTTTCGCTATTTCAGACCAAACTATGTGATTTTCTATACCTGTTTCCGGTCTGAACCGAATGGGAACTTCTCAAGAGATTATTGATACAAAAAAAAAAACATACCCTGCTGTGGCTAACGGCGACACACCGTGAATAACCAGTTAAAAAAAAGAATTTTTAGTAACGCTCCTCCACCGTGCTTTCTATCAACTCACAGGTCCCGATCGAAGAAAAAGAAGGAAAGCAAGGTACTCGATTAGATGATTAAAGTACAATTTACTGAAAACTTGTTTTAGAGGTTGTCCAAGAAAACGTCAAATCATTCTGTTCTTGGCAGTGTTAATATTCAATTGTTAACCCGGGTATAGAAAAATTGTTTCTTAAAAGATATAAGACATTAAAGAGAAATTGCAAAATTAGGATAAGAGTCTCTATAACTGGGCTTTTCTCTTGCAGGTTGTGTACAGTGGAGTACAGGACCCGGGTACAGTCAGGGCTGAAGTATAGCCGTTATTACCAACAGCACGCGTGAACGTGTCGACACGTAAAGCTCGAGCATGTCCTAAGTCGGATAGAAGAAATATCCATGATCACTTTTTTTCAACTCAGTTTTTTATTCATTATTGGCACCATGAACATACTCGGATGGAATTTCATGCTCTTCTAAAATGTCCGTCAGCAACATTGCTCTTTCTATGTTGCAGGTGGACAAGCTTGTTGAACTAGTCCTTAATTGATGGAGATACGAGTTTGCAAACTTACAGCTTCATTTACGTGTGAAGTCACTTGCGTTAAAATTATTTGCGATTACATATTCTAATTTCTCTTTTTCATATTATGAACTCTTTGAGTGAGCTGAAACTACCTTCTTTGCAAAGAGCAAAAAGAAAGGGTAAAGCTTCATCAACAATTAATGAATGAGGCTGAGTATCTTATAAAGAATTATGGAGATCGAGGAGGGTGTTATCCGTCGAGGCCGTAGACCGAGGCGGATAACACCCTCCGAGATCGCCATAATTCTTCATATGAGACGAAAGCCGAATTCAATAATTGTTTTATTATTCATTCAAAATAATTCCTGTGGTTTTAAAACATGGCTAAAACATGCTTACCTCCATCGATCCATATTTTAATTTCATCTTCGATAGTGCACGTTTAGGGTTGTTCAGCTCCGCAAATATTCTCGAAATAGCAGATGTCGCCCTTTGAGTTGTCTTCTTGCTGTTCTTTCCATGTTTTTAGCAATTTTTTTTTGCCTAATTCTTACTCTTGAAACGAGTGAAATGTCCGCCATGTTTCAAGTTCACAACCAAAGTAACTCAACCTCGTCCCCAGGTCTTCTCGGTTAACGGTGCATTAACCTGCAAAAACGCTGCATTTTTGACGTCATTTCCTCGCTAAGCACAAATTTCTTCCAAATTTGGTCATCAGTAACTGGTTATGGTGAACTAAACGTGTGCTTTTAGCCAATCAGAATCGGGGAAATATTTTGAATGACTAATAATAGATATTAACAAATACTTATTCAAAATAAATGAAAAATATTATTAATAAGTGATAAAATAACACGGCACCGGCATAACAGAATTATACCTTGGTAGTGGTCAGGAGTTGTTCACAATTTGTTCTTTTAATTATCCCCTCCAAAGTTTTTCCAGTTAGGTGTGTACAGTTATTGTTTGTATATAGAGAGTTTCCATATTCAATTGACGTTAAAACATTTTTCTCTGCACCAATCTGAGGAACAGCGGCTGAAAGCAATCATTTTTTGGTTTGTCAGTCTTTGTTGGTGAATCAGATTCGATTGTGGGCAAAGACAGGTTAAGTCACCTTTGTCGGAAAAACTTAATTTTTCATGTTCGTCCTGTAGAGTATATAAAAATAATCTAATGCTACTTTTATTTAATGCCCAAGCTTTCACACCATTTTTTACTAAAGAACCATTTTAGTTTGTTTCCAAAAGTCACTCCGGCAAGGGCTCAATTCCATGCCTTTTTTTTGTTCCTTTATGGCAGACAAAGAACCATAGTGAAAACATACTAAATCAGTAAAAATTATCGGCTTTCTGAGGTTAAACACCTTTAGAACATTAGCGAGTTTCTCAAATCTGAATAGCATGGTCAGGCTTTGAACGATCCCAAGTTAAAAATGGTGACTACTGGAGTCCGTGGTTGTGAAACAAACAGAACCTCTGTACAAGGGTGATAATCATTTTTGGGGGGAATCCACTTCTAAAATCTAAATTAGCTTGCTTATCTTTGCTGAAAGTTATTTGCTTAAAAACCCAAAAGTAAGTGGTAGTTGATCTAAAACAAAGTAGAAAAATTAATTTCTAATTGCAGACGAACCCTCCTAGCAAGGTGCAGTTACCTAAAACGAAAGATGTATTTACACAAGCTACCCAACCTATCATGATACTTTGATACCGGCAAAAAAGGCTGGGGTGTTCACACTTGATACTCGTAATTGGTCTTTGCACTCAACTGCTTGTTCGTTATGTCAAACGCTATTTGAAGCATTAATCGGTTCCAGAGGAGTTGTGAGTATAAAATCAGTCAACTGTCTATGATCACAAGTACCTTGGAACCAACGAGAAAGGCACACAGCGAAACTGTGCCTACTTTGGCGCCCGACTTAAAGGTCTGAAGCTTGTACTTGGGCACCGGTGCCGAGCCCGAATACCAAACGTGAATACCTCGAACAAGGAGTGTGCTCGCGGTAGTGCTCATCAAAAATTATTAACCCAGGCATAGTGCACGGATGAGGGAACCAGTTGTGAATATAGCTAGCCTGTCCCAGGAGTTCAGATTGTAGAGTGGGGCAGGAATTCACTCCATTATATCTCAACGCCAGAAACAGGCTACAAAATATCCTAACTCATCTTTGATTTCTTGCTCATATATCTGCAAGTGAGTTTTGCTAGATTAGAGAAGTAGCTGAAACTCTTGCTGCAGAACTGGCACTGATAAGACTTGAGTCTCCGCTTCCTCCACTGGAATGGAGGCGTAGATGCCTATGAAGCGTACTCAACTGGGCAAAGCTCTTCTCGCAGAAGTGACACTTATAGGGCCGCTGGCCAGTGTGAGAGCGCACGTGATTAGTAAGCGTGGACTGTTGGGCAAACGCTTTTCCACAAAACTTGCATGAATATGGGCGTTCTTTGGTGTGAGAAAGTTCGTGCTTTCTTAAGGTCGACGGCTGGGAAAAACACTTGCCACAGCAATGGCAAATGTATGGCTTTTGGCCAGTGTGAGTTCTAAGATGATTTGTCAGCGTCGTGCTTTGAGCAAACATTTTGCCACAGTACATGCAGAGATACGGTTTTTCGCCAGTGTGCGTGCGCAAGTGTGCCTTTAGGACTCCCGACTGAGCAAATCGACGACTGCAAAACTTACACTGAAATGGTTTGTCACCTGTATGCGTCCGGACATGATTTTGGAGTGTAGAAAAGTGGGCAAATTTCTTGCAGCAGAAGCGGCAAACGAACCTTCTTTCTTTCATGCTAGGTGACATGAAGTTGCCATAAATTTCTCGCCCGTTGAAGAAAGGGCTGTGGCTTTCTGGAAAAGTGACAAGTTTCTCTTCAGTGTGTTTCTTTAGGTTCTTGCCGTAGTTGAGGGTATTGGCGTCAGCTGTCGGATGTGGCTGCTCACTGACTTGTGTTTTCTGCAATCCATCCTCATGGTCAAGAGTTGTGCTGGTAACACTACCCTGGTCACTGGACAATGATGATGCAGCACAGTGCATGTCTTCTTTTAGAGGTCCCTCTTTTGATGGCACAGCACGACGCTCAAGATTATAGGGCATGTCCTGGTCATCGCATGGATCCATTTTACAGCCTCCTCTGTCTATGTTCAGTTGGGATGGGCCAAATGCGACTTGCATTGGAAATGGACCGACTTTATGGACAGTTTCAAGACTTGCTCTTTGTTTGTCCAAAGTTTCAAACTGTATTTTTGAAAATTCCAAGCTTGTAGGAGCGTACCAGTATTGTGGGTCTAACTTCCATTCTGCCTTTAAGTAACCTGGACGCTTGGTTAAATTTCCGTAGGTGATTCCCAGCTTCAGGTCTGGAGTTTCGGACTGGTGAAATGCACTCTTTTCATGGTCGAATGAAAATTGGTTTGAAAGAGAGTACTCGCTGGAAAACTCTCCAAACGATGACCCAGCAAGACTCTGAACTTGTTGAGTAACAAACATTGGCGCAGTTATCTCCTCGGTAGTTTTTCTAGCTTTAGGTAAGGGGTGACACGGTGGCCGTGTATCTGGAGGAATATCATTTCTGCAAACCTGTGATTCAGTCCGAGGTGTTTCTTTGATGAAGCTGTCGTCATACTTTCTCATCCATCCAAGATGAGCAGGGACTCCGGAAGAGACGTCTTCACAAGGAGAGGTTGTAACACGAACCTTCGGATCTCTTAATTCAGAAGTAATCGATGGGTCATGAAAACTCAATGGGTTTGCTTGCGGAAAGCTTCGACTTGCACAAAGTTTCTCAGGTTGAATATATTGATAATGGGCACGTTCCTTTCCACTTCCTTTAAGTTGTGCAGGATCTTTTTCTCTCACTTTCTGGGGGCTACGTTGGCGGTTTTTTCGTTTTTTACTTCCAGCAACAAAGTCCTGTCGACGTTCTCCTTCACGAAAAGGAACATCCTCTAAAACAGGATCTTGGAATACAGCGCTTGCAAGATGTCGCCGATGGTAGTTTTCATCAAAACCATCTATTTTACGGGCATATGAAAGATGTGAATGCTTGGCCTGAGTCTCTTCTCTCGCACTCAGATTTTTGCGAAAGATTTGTTCAACTCGAGTTCCCTGCTCTTCATAATAATCTCTGATTTTTAAAGTAGCGCTTTGACTGTTAGACAGTTGTTTGGAGGCAACATTATTTTGCCCATCTTGCGCGGCATCCGTTTTTTGAAAGACACTTGGAATGTGCACCACTGAAGAACTCTTTGGAATGTCTCCTTTTTCTGGGCGCTTTTTATTGCAGGAGGAATTAATTTGTTCTATTTCTTGGGTACAAAGGTATGATGGGCACCCTGGACAAAGACACTTCGCTGGAGGGCTGAATTTTCTATAGCCATGGCTTGGCGACATAAAACCACTATCGTTTTGTCGTCTTTGATTGTTAACGGTAACATGTATGGTTAACTCCTCGTTCGAAAAGTTCCTTGGTTGTGAAACGAGACTTTGATCGTATATATCTGAATTACGTCCGGAACAATATTCTTCTGAATTATTCTGAACATTTTTGTTACCTTGCAGCCAATTCAATGACCATCGCCCATCCAAGTGTGGCTGCCTGTGCACACATTGAGGTTTGCTTTCCGGGAACCATTTCGAGTTCTTGGTAACAGTATACCTTGGCATTCTCTTGGAGTAACTTCTTGAACAAGGCTCAGAAAAACTGTGACAGTGCAGACTTACGGGGATGCATTTTTCTTGAAGATCCTTAATATCTGGACAACCTGTAAGGAAAAAATACAACATCTGTCTGCTCAAAAGTTGACTACGTAAAAAAATTACTGTTGGCGAGTTTGACGTCCCTTTATCAATTGCTGGGCTTACAGATATTAAGAATACCAGGGAAAGTTTTCATAGCATCACTAGTGCTACTCAACGGTTGGTAATTACAGTTTGGTACTTTTTTTTCTAAATGTCAGTTACCGTAAACACCCGCTCAAAGAATCAAGGATTTTCTTTGAAGTCTGTGGCTAATTAGTTTTGTATAGAATATGTAGTGGCAAATAAGTTTGGAGAGGTAGTGTAGAAGTTGCTATAGCGCTTTAATATGGGGCTCTGTATGGGTATTTCCGATGAAATCAAGGTCGAGACCATCGCTACTGATTAAACGACAATCTAAGGTCCAGTTCAGGCCCCAAACCCTAATATGCCGTTCTGATCACTCTTGACCACTTGAGTTGTGCGATGGCGACAAAGAAATCTTCCGAAAAGTGTGTTGCTAGTTCAGAGTTGCTTTTTTTTTGCTTTATTTAACTGGTCCCTATCTAAATTGTTCTCGTTTTCCTTTCCGTTGTTGTCGTCTTCGTCATAGCGGTTGCTCGAACTCGCTAGTAGCCTGATTAACCACGCAAAACAATTCTTCATATCTGACGATTTGATTGAAAACGCGCGACGGAAACGATTTCCGCAGGTACCCATAGAAAGACTAGTATCTGCGGAAAATTAGCTGCAATTACTGGATGATTGACTCTGAGACCCCGTTTACACGGGTCCGGACGAATTTTTTACCTGTGCAACCCGTTTACACGGAACTGTGCAAACTCTGTTACAGATTGGAACTGTTTGCAGTTCGAACATTTACACGGTTCCGCGAGTCCCGCGTACGTAAACGAAAGGCAATTCCGTACAAGATTTTGTCCGTTCAAAAATTTTCCTGGACTCTTCTAAACAGGTCCTTAAGGCTATCATTACCGCATTAAACACTGTAATTATCAAATGTTCTTGTAATGGCCCGCATACGTCTTTGAAATGTCCCAGAGTTTTGTCTAATCTTAGCGATTTTTCGTATTTGAGTCTGCTTCAGTTTGTTGATAGTTGTCAGTCTCAATTGGTTCTTAATGCACTACAAGAGCCATAATAATATGGGTCTTGTGCACTAACAATTCCAAACTTCAACTAACNTGTGATCATGTACTTACAAGGGTGAACATTTTGTTTTTCAGGGGCCTTTGCTAATCCATTGCTTCTTTGCTTCAAAGAATAGAGAATAATAATAAAAAATAAATAAATAACTTGCATTACGATACACCTTTAGCAGCATTTCCGTGAAAGTTGCATTTACATTGTCAATTTACTAACCTCGTGGCGTTGATAATCCATCGATCTCTGTGAGAGTCTGTATTGGACAAACCCAGAGCCTGGGGGAACTGCAAGGGGGACTTTAATGTGATTGTCTTGTGTAGTACAGAGATTTTTTATAATGGGAATCTTGTGTAAGCCATGACTCAAACCATTTGTGTGGCTTTCCACTGAGTGATTATCATTTGGTACTTCAACACTTGTAGTCTTTTTGTCTCGATAGTCTTGACGATGGGCAATGTCTCTATGGTCTTGACAAATTTTAGGCAGTTTTCTTTTTGCATTTATCATCTTAACTATTTTGCAGTTTCCTGAAAGGTAAAACGTAAAGGTGCGGGATATGCAGTTGGCGAGGGAAATGTTCAACCTTTCTAGACAAAGGGATCGTGAAGCCTTACAAACACCATACAAGTGGGTCAGCCTTAGGGCAATCAGCCACCTACATCTACTCACACAGGGGGTCATTCAACACGGACGGAAGAGAGAATTGCCAACGGTTTTCATGATTAGTGTCCTTAAAGGTTCCTTTGGGTGCTCTTAGTATACTTACTTGTTAGACCGTTCAGAGGCGATAAGCATGTCTGCTGGGAAGAGATCCCCGCCATTTAAACTATTGTCATTTTGATATATCGCTAAACCCTTGTTTAATTTTTGCGGTGTAATGGCTTCGATTTGCCATCCTTGGTATGCAGGATCCCAGCTTCGTTCATTTCGTAAAGTGTCCTTTTGAAAATAATCCTCGGTGAGTTAAATGTTTTTGGTCGTCTAGAAATGAAACTCTTCTTGCAATGCGCTGTCCGTAACTACTCTTAAGGATATTCTCGCGTACTTCACAAGTTGGACAGCGTGCATGTTTAGGAAATAAAAAGAATAGAAAAAAACAAGATTATAAATGAATAAATTGAATGGTCGGGGGAAAATGGTGAAACTGTCTTAGAGACAAAAGGATTGTGAAGCTTTACAAATACCATAAAACACGGTCAGCCTTAGGGCTATTGACAACCTACAACTGTTCCAGCAGGGGGTCATTCATCACAGGCAAACAAGAGAATTGCCACCGATTTTCATGATTAGAGCGCTAAAAAATGCCTTTGGTTGCTCTGAACAGGGTTAGGCCTTTTATAAACGATATGTTCCTGTATGCATGTCAGTGTTAAGCAAACGATCGTTCTAGTAAAGCCCTAATTTAATGCTTATTGCCTTTAGGTCTTTTTTTGTGTTTTTCACGGGGAAGCAAATTAAATACCACAGCAGGAGCAAAGACAGCAAATAGCGTGATACAGCCCCTTTAAGCTCCAGCCGGGCGCGGTTGGGAACTGGTTGCATGGGTGACCAGCCGCGAATATCCTGTGGTGAGGACCGGTGCTTCCTTGTGTCTTGTCATCTTTTGTTATCTTGTTTCATTGTCTTATATCATTAGAGAACTGTTTAAATGTATATGTTTTTTTCTTTCGCTTTTTTATCAAAACGGGACTGTTTTCCCACTACAACAATTGCAATATCAGAGTTCGAATTTGAACAAAGCATCGCGTGTTAGTCGCTAACTAAGATAGCTTCCACTTGCAAAGAATATTCAATTATTGATTTAGCTTTTTAATAGAAGGTGAAAAGAAGTGTCTGGCCTCATTTATATTGGATCCCTTGATATAATCAAAAAATAATAAAATAGATTGCCTTTTTCTTTTAGGTGACACAGTTTTTGTTTAAACTTAAACAAATCAAGATGCACAAAAAATGCTGTTTCAGTGTTTTGCAGATTAAGCTCGTCGAAATCATTATACAGCAATGAAATTCAAAGTATCCAAATTGACTAAACTCGCATTTGAAATTAAATTGAAATGCTCCTTCCTTTTAGTCTAAACTAGAACTTTCACTTTACACCACAATTTACCGTATATCGCCTAAAAAAAAATAAAACTGTATTTATAAGCTTAAGCTTGAATACTTCATCTCAGGAAGACCACTGCAACAACGGGATGGTTAAAACAATGTAGTCTATCTCCGGCTTCCCACCGAACTAGGAAGGAAATAAGAAAAAATATATGAGGACGTTTCCACCTTCCTGTAACAAAAGCATTTGAGACTTGAAAGTTTATATTTTTCTTCGATCGAGCCAGTAGTATCATAAAACAACCGATTATTCGAGGCAAAACATTATGGCCCAGTATTACCCATTTAATCGTCTTTCAACTGTTACAAAAACAAACAACAAACTACCACACATAGAATAGCTTTAGTGAAAAAAGGGGACTATATTAGGCTAATGGAACTGTAAAGGTACTTATATCGACGTATTGGGTCGACATAAATGCTGTGTTTGCGTTGTTAATAAACGAATATGTATACATGACATCGAATCAGCAGGCTTGCATAAACTCTTTTCTGTGCAGCAGCAGGTAACCGACATGACCAGCCAAGATAACCTAATAGTGGAGTGGCAATAATCCTTTTAATTTCAAGGGGTTTTCACAAGCAAAATGTGAACTGAACGCCAGAAAGGTAACTTCGATACAAGACTGCCCGATAACTCGAAGAAACCTTTATTAGTTAGTTTGTTATTCACTTAGCATAGCCTCGAGCGTTATTGATGAGTTAGTTGAGGCGACTGTTACTAAAGACAGCCAAAAATAAAAGTCGTCCGTTGTTTTGTTTTTTCTTCATATTTTTTTCATATATTTTTTTTTATGTCAGTGTACAAACAGCCAAAAACAAAACCATGCTATGTTTTAATTAAATGACCACGTTGTGATTTGGTGAAACTAATTGCTTTTAAAACTTTTCTTATCAAAATAACAAAAATTAAAGACAGGAACAAATCTTGAGTCGCTTTCATAGGTTAGCCGACGTTTTAGTGTAAAGATTAATTATCTAATAGCCTTAAAATTAAATGAGTTAATTGGAAATGGAACTCCGTTACAGAAATAAGTACAAAAGGGAGCGCAGTTTACTTCAGTGCAGCTGGAGGCACAGCAGTAAATTCATTTCTCCACATGAACTTAACAGGTCTTTTCCGTAATGAGGTCTGCTGATGGCGCGCTCGAAAAGATGGTAAGAAGGAAACGATGGGTGGGGATGGTGGGGGAGGGCCGTCAAGGTATTTTAGTGTGGTCAGAGTGGGGTGCTAATTTTTTTATGAAGGAAGTACAGGGGTAATATTTTTTCGAAGGTTCTGATGGATGTCTTAAAATTATTGGTGTTTGTGTAAAAAGGAAAATTTCAAAAAAAGTGGAATAATTTAGATATGAGAAAACCAAGATGACAAGAAAGTCACTTCTGACTTAGTGTTACTGATGGCCTTTATAAGATCATGGCAATTTGATAGTTTGTCGAAGACCAATACCCATCCATCTCCAACATGCCTATCACAACCTGCTTTAGTTGTGTTTTATTTTTGTGTCGGTTGATAGCCTATGAAGCCGTAAACCTTGTTTTGGCGTTCATCTTCATTCTATGTACCATTCTTATTTGCCCTTCTCAGGCCTGGGAGGCTGGTCCTTGCAGACAGACGTTCAGTTTATCTTGCAATTCACCCCTTCCCACACCCCTCCTCCATAAACAATCACCCATCCCGCCAATCAAAATCCATTCAAAAGCCAATCAAAATCAGGCAACATTTTTTGAAAGCGGGCAGGGCGGTAGTCTCCCTCGCAGCCGTTTTTTGGATGTCACGCAACCCTGGGTTTGGGGAGCGTTGCGTGAAATCCAAAAAACAGCTGCAAGGGAGACTAGCAGGGCGGTAGCTCATTTAAAAGATATCATTTCTACTCCTTTAAAATTTTGCGACCCTTAGTCTCCAAAAACATCTTCTAAATTTGGATTTTAAGCTCAGAATCAAATAAAAACCAGGGAAAAGAAAATGTATCGAATATCCTTGTCGAGTTAAAACGGTAGTACATTTTATTAACTCGGTAGCTATACGTGATTTGTTCAGTTTGTTTTCCAAAGATTCACAAGATTTTAAGACATTCTATAGCTTTCTA